GCTGGCTGCCCTAGGGCTGCCCTATGGGCAAAACGTATGGAAAGAAGAGGATCAATTTATACCGAGGGCTGAAGAGGGACTCCCATAGTGCATTAATTAACACTTAATAAATACATCAAAATTAAATACATTAGAGATAAGAACCTGTAATGACAACTTTACTTCATGAGAAGCTCCAGAGAAAGAAGACCCAGAGGGAGTAATGGTAGGGGGAATCCCAAGGAGACCAAAGCGGCTGGTAGAGGAAGCAGACAGAGAACAAGGTTAGAGGCAGAGTGGCTGCAGGGTTGGCCCAGTTTTCTTCATCTCCCCTGTGGGTGCAGACACTGATCTCTATCACTGTAAGAGGGAACAATAGAATGGAATGCCCAGAAGAATGAATGACTTGAGGACAATTTCCTGAGGGACCCATACCCTTGCAGAGCTTTTCTAGCTCTGACATTTACATTTTTACATGGTTTGGCCACAGAAATAAAAATCGGCACATCTTCCATGTGTTTTTGGAGCAACGGAAAAAAAGTTACAATTCAAGTGACGTTTAAAATTCCCTATGAAACTGAGTTAACAAAATAAATGAGCTTATGAACAACCAGAAAATATACTTCTCAAGTGAAAAAGTATAACTGGACTTCTTTGCAAAGAAACTGTAAGTTTTCTTACAAGAAAAGCCACAAACTATCTGGAAAGGAAGAGTAGATTAAATTACTTGCCTCAGTGAAATTAAATATCCAGAGAATTGCTGTGCCTGTGATGATGATGACCGGGGTTTGCTCATCTGTGGCTCCCCCTCCCTGTGCTCTGGAGGCACAGCTGGGCAGGTCTGCATCTGCAAGCAGGCCCCCTGCCTCAGGTGCAGCTCCTGTTGGCCTTGGTGGTCAACAGTCTGGGAGCCTCTTGGCCAATGATCTGGGGGTTGGAGGGGGAAGGCAAAGGGGAAGATTGTAGGGAGCAGGGGGAGGGGAGCTGTCCCTGGAGGCACAAAAAGGGGGGGCTTTCTGGAGAGGGGTGATGGAGGCACAGGGCTGGTGGGGATCTTCCAGGGAGGCAGAGGGTTGTGTGGGTCTCTTTGGGGTGGGGAGGAGTGATGGACAGAGCCAGCTGCAGCCCGGGTCTGGTCTGCGTGGGAAGGGACTATTGCTATAAGCCCCCCCCCCAGGAAGCCCCCTCTGGACTGTGTATTTTATACCAGCCCCAGGATGCCCATCACTGCTTCTTCCTCCTGCCCCCGGCTCCATCTGTTTGTCTGCCCCCACAATGCCCCCCCCCCGCCGTCTGTGTCTGACAGTGACAGACTCCTGCTGCTCTCTCTGCCTGCAGCTCCCTCCCCCTCCCTGCTGGGGAGGCGCGGTCAGGCAGCTTTGGCACCGCCACCCCCCCATAACTCCCATTGGCCAGGTTCCTGGCCAATGAGCTGGGAACCGGGTCAGCTCTGGGATGGGGGACAGAGGCAGCCTGTGGAACTGCCCTGCTTCAGCCGTGACTCTCCCCAGCACGCAGGGACGCCGGGGAGGGGGGAGCTGCCCCCGAGGTGAGAGCGCCCCACCTCATATTGTCGAACAGTGGAGCATGGGCACCACAGCCCATCTTGCCAGCTATGTATCCAACCCCTCCTGCTCCCTGTCCCTTGACTGCCCCCGCCCTTATCCTGTTAAGCTGATAAGCGCCCCTTATCCTAACCATGAGGCTCGTAGCAGCATTTGGCTCAGCACGGAGCCAGACATGCTGCCCTGCGGGAGCACGCAGCCCAGCCCCCCCAGAGCTCTGCCCAGCACATCCGGTGCGCACGCCTATAGCAGGGGGGTGGACAGTCAGCTGTCTGCCTCCTACAAGATCAGCACTGCAGGCTTTAATGATGAGAATCCAGTATTAAATAAACAAACTTCATGCAGCAGCAATGAACAATCCTGGGGCATTGGCCAAAACTCTACATCTAGGATTGTTCCATCCAAATCAGGGCTCCTGGCAGGTATGTGAAGCTACCTTGTGTGATATAATCTATTCTAGGGAGCTAAGTGGAAGCAGAGGAGGATGTTTTCCAGTTTCCTATGACAGTAAAACCTCTTAGTTAATTCTGCACACAACACTCATTCTTCAAACTCTCCTGACAGGAGCTACTGTGTGAGAACTCAGATTGTTCTCAAGGTTCAGCATCTAAATTTAAGTAAGTTATCTGTAATTGCAGTATTGCCAACCCCAAATGTCCAAAAGTCACGAGGCAGGATCACCAAAATCATGAGATTTAACATCTTTAAAATAATGAGATTATCTAAAATAATAGATTTGGGGTTCTTTTTACTTGCTTTCTGCTTTTTGAGCCTTTAGGGTGCACTGGGGTCACATTTTGAAGCTCTCTCCACAGCCACAAGGGCTAGAAACTTACTTTTTCTTTAAGAATGAAGGCTGAAATCATAACATATCCACTTGACTCCAGGAGACGGGGCTTTAAGGAAAACAATAATTATCATGAGACTCCTGACAAAAATAATGAGAGTTGGCAACACTGCAAGTTGCTTCAGGAAAGTGTGAGCTGAGTCTTTTTGGTGGTACTGGTGGAAATGATGGCATGGTTGACCAAAGTAAGGTACTGCAAATGTAAATCAACAGTGCTTATTTTCATAGCTTAGAGACACCAGAAGAATGTTTTAAAAAATCATTGGTATAAGCAACATCAGTTTGTTTGTTTATTTTGCACAATGTTAAGAGATTGACAAGTAGCAGTGCAGTCTGGAAGGGATATTAAGCCTAATGCTTGAGGGTTTAATCCAGTTTCTATTGGTGTATGTCTACACTATAGCTGCTACAGTGGCACAACTATCATGCTGCAGCTGTAGTGCAGTAGTGTAGACCTTCCTACATTAATGGAAGGGTTTTCCAACTCTCTGAGAGGCAGTAGCTAGGTTGACAGAAGACTCCTGTAACCCAGCTGCATCTACACAGAAAGCTAGGTTGACCTAGCAACAGTGCTCAGGATGCAAAATTTTTCACAGCTCTGAGTGATTCAGCTAGGTCTAGGTCAGGGGTCTCAAACATGCGGCCCACAGAGTTATTTCCTGTGGCCCGCCGTAGGCACTGACTCCGTGGGTGCTCCAGGGCTGGAGCACCCACAGGGAAAAATTAGTGGGTGCTCTGCACCCACCGGCAGCCAAGCTCCCCTCCTCCACCCGCCCCATCTCCTCCTCCTCCCCCTATGAGCGCACTGCATCCCCAATCCTCCGCCTACCTCCCAGTGCTTCCCACTGCCAAACGTTTGTGGGGAGGCGTGGGGGAGAGGAGCAGGAACGTGGTGTGCTCAGGGGAGGAGGCGGGGCCAGGGCAGGGATTTGGGGAAGGGGTTGGAATAGGGGTGAGGAGGGGGTGTATTTTGTCGTTTGAGTGAGGTGGTTTGGCATTCTGCTTTGGCTGCTGTTTGCCGAAGGTGGAAGGTTTGCAGTGCTGCTGGATGGGCGATTTGGGTGGGAAGTTCTCTTTAGGGTGGGGGTTGCATGGTTTTGTTTACTTGAATCAGGTCAATGTGCCTCTATCCCCCACACTCTCAGGACAGCGCCTCCTGTTACAAGGCATGTGCTCACAACCTGCAGATGCTCCCTGCCTACAAACTGCAGCTGGCTGCTGCCTGCCCCTTCAACATTTTCATTCTTTTGTGTACATCAGTGGATCTCAAACTTTTTTACTGGTGACCCCTTTCACATCGCAAGCCTCTGAGTGTGACCCCCCCCCAATAAATTAAACACATTGTTTAATATATTTAACACCATTATAAATGTTGGAGGCAAGTGAGGTTTGGGGTGGAGGTTGACAGATTGCGACCCCCGCCCCCATGTAATGATCTCGTGACCCGATCCCCAGGTTGAGAACCCCTGGTGTACATGAACTTGGAGGTTCTTCCCCCACATGAACAGTTACAACAGAACATCACCTTGTGGAAGCTAGTGTACTCTTTGCCTTTAGCCCCAGCCCACGTGCTCAGAGCTTAGGGACATGCTGTCATACCTCTGGCCCCAAAGCTCTAGACTACCTTTAAATCAACAGACAGGAGTCACAAGAGACTTGACCACCAGAGCCTTAGCTGAGACCAGCAAACTCATATCATGTAACATCAGTTTGGCTTTAAATCCTAGACTCAGGAGGTGAGAACCAAGTGTCTTGCCGAGGCTCTCCATTTTCCCTTTCAAATCAAATCCCTCTTGGTGCCTCCAAAGTAGCTGACTGGGCAGGTGAGCCATGATATGTTCAGCAGGATTCCACAGGTCTCACTTAGCTGTAATTGTTCATTTTTTTTTTTTTCCTATTTGACTGTGCTTTTGTATTGTATGAAAAAGGTTTCCGTGATGCGGCCCTTAGCCAATATACTAGTTTTCATGTGGCCCTCGTGGTAATTTGAGTTTGGGACCCCTGGTTTATGTGTAGACCAGGTGTCAGACAGCAGGGTAAGACCTAATGTGGGAACAGGTTATCCCACATCTGCCTACTGTGGGGTTCTTATTCCCTTCATCTGAAGTAGCTGGTGTTGGCCACTGTCAGAGACTGGACAGTAGACCGAATGGACCTTGATGCTGATCCAGTCAGGTAATTCTTATGACTCATCACTTCTCTGCCCTAGAGAGGGAAAATCCCTCAAAGTCCAGTATATCCATACCAGTTGGATTAACCAGACCACTAATGTTCTCATTCTGAATATGTATTTCACCTCCACTGTTGAAGCATTGTATTCACTGGATCAGACTATTGTATCAACCAGCCAATGGTGAGGAATGAGAAGTAATTCTGACTCTTATTGTAATGAGGTTTGTTTTGCTGCTTTATCTGGCCCACGTTTGGCTTGTAAGCTCATTGAAATGATAACTGTTCTCCCTGTTATTCCCATGCACACACTGTAAATTGTGTAATTCTTCACCTTCCCTGCCTCCTAGACTTCTATCATGTTCTCCAGTCAGCTGTGGAGGGACTACACTGGCTGATGAATTGCCATGGCATGATCTCTGCTTTGTTTGCTTTCCCAGCTGCCAAAGAGGACGTGACTTGGTGATGGAGGCTTTGCTGGAGAGAATGCAAAGACAAGGGCACGGAGGGTATGTATACCACCATTTACAATGCTCTCTCAAATTCATGCAGCTTCACTTTTATATCAGTTCAAATCCTACAGTCCTTTGGTTTGCTCCTTAGTCAGACAAAATCTCCTTTGCTTATTGTAACAGCTAGGAACTACAGATAGGGACTGGGACCCATTATGCTAGGACAGGGGCGGGCAAACTTTTTGGCCTGAGGGCCACATCGGGTTTCCAAAATTGTATGGCGGGCTGGTTAGGGGAGGCTGTGCCTCCCCAAACAGCCAGGCGTGGTCCAGCCCCTGATCCCTATCTGACGGCCCCCACCCCCACCCCGGACTCCTACCCCATCCAACCGCCCCTGTCCCCTGACGGCACCCCCAGGACTCCTGCCCCATCCACTGCCCCCTGCCCCTGACTATCCCCTGCCGCCCCATCCAATCCCCCCTCTCCTTCCTGACTGCCCCCCGGAACCCCTGCCCCCATTCAACCCCCCTGTTTCCTGCCCTCTGACCGCCCTGACCCCGTCCACACCACTGCCCACCCCTTTGAACTCCCATGCCCTCTATTCACACCCCCCTGACTGGAGCACCGGTGGCTGGCAGTGCTACAGCCGCACTGCCACGCAGCACAGAGCACCGTGTCAGGCCAGACTTCGCAGCTGCGCTTCCCCAGGAACTTGCAGCCCTGCCGCCCAGAGCATTGCGCCGGCAGCACAGTGAGCTGACGCTGCGGGGGAGAGGCCGGGGGCTAACCACCCGGGCCAAGAGCTAAGGGGCCAGGCAGGAGTTTGCCCACCTCTGTGCTCGGAGCTGTAAAGGGTGTTATGTTTGAGTAAGGTCTTCAGGATTTGGCCAGTAGGGCCTGATCGTATATCATTAACTTCAACTGGAGCAGGATCAAGGCCATAGTGAATTGCTTTTCCAAATAGTTCCTGGCTACAAGCCTTTGTTGTCTTAATAGCTGGCATTTCTGTACTATTATCCTTTTGCGAAATCTCTGTTCTATTTTTCAGCCTTCTTACAAGTTATTCTACTGCTAAGTGCAGTTATGGTCATAAAAGTGAATACGCAAAAATGGCACCACCTTACTCTGTGGATCTATTCCAGTCTGCTTACTTTACTGTCAGAAATACGGCTAGCACTGCATGTGGCTATAGGAGAGCGAGCCGCATTCTCTCTTGGCTCCCACAACATCAACAGATCTTAACTAAGTTCCAGTTGCAGAATCCTACTGCAGCCAGGATAAAAACATCATGACTCATAGAATTTAAGGTCAGAAGGGACCGTTATGATCATCTGGTCTGACCCCCGGCACGTTGACCCCCTGCAGAACCTTGCCCGCTTTAGATCCTGGGTTGAGTCAGCAGTGCTGGCAGTTGAACGAGCATCTTTTTTTCTTGTCAGTTGAGCAAATGGGACATGAAAGTAATTGTTCCCTTTGCCTCAACGGCGTGTGCCACTTTTATATTCCTTTTGCCAGATTGTGCCCCAACTCCAAAGGTGGCAAAGACTATCTCTTTGCCAAGTAATGGTTTCAGAACTTGGATATGAATTGTACAGCTACTCTCACTGAGTGGGAAATGTTCTTAAGGACCATAATTACTGCTTAATGTTTGGTCAACTCACAGGACAGGGTGAACTTCAAACTGAACTGTGAGGCTGGCTCCTTTAAGAATGAGTCGCCTTCCCTCAGCTTCCCCCTGGTTTGAGCATTGGCCTGCTAAACCCAGGGTTGGGAGTTCAATCCTTGATGAGTTCAATCCTTGAGGGGGCCATTTAGGGATCCGGGCAAAAATTGGGGATTGTTTCTGCTTTGAGCAGGAGGTTGGACTAGATGACCTCCTTAGATCCCTTCCAACCCTGATATTCTATGATTCTATGATTCCCTATAGCAAAGCTGTCAAGTTCTGAAGTTTACGGATACTCCAGGGAGACAGAGGAATTTCAATCCCTTGACCTATTGATTTCCATTTCTTTTCAGTCCTTCCTATTTGACAAGCAAATTAAAGGGGTAAAGATCAGTATGGAGTTCACGTCTCTCTTGGGCTCCATCTTGCAAGATTTAATATTGTCCCAAGCTTAGCAGCTTGTAAGGTTTCAGAGAAGTTAGTTGATTTGGGTTCAGTGATTACTGCCCCAAAGTTGAAATTTCAGCATGTCTAGGGAGCAAACTCTCGCCAGTAGATTGGAGATGTTTTATTCTTAATTATGGTGGCGTTATCCACCCTGCTTCACTTAGGTGTTTGTCAGCATTTATGTGATAATCCTCTATTTTCAGGAGTTGATAAATTGGCTGTAAGATTTCTCTGATGATTGGAACTCTGTTCAAAAAAATTTCTGCTTGGGGACTGTGATAGTTTCAGGCTGTTTCCCGAGGATCCCGTGGGACCGTTGTACCCCTTAACTCTCCAGCCTGGACTGTCTCTCTCAATGCTATGCCAGTGACAAGCAGCTAGTTCCTACAGGTGCTATGATTACTCAGCTGTCGGCATGTGGAGACTCACACCCAGCTAAATTGCATGAATGCTCTCCAAGCCACTCATGAATCATACACAGAAAGGCACCAGCCAAGCACCCCAGCTCCCATCCTTGCACCCCAGAAATATACTGTCTTACAGTGCTCAAGACTCTTCTGGATGGTGCAAACTCATTAATTAGTTTGCCACTCCTGCAAAGGGTAGTAGATGTGCAACAGCCGTTGTTAACCTGAGCTGAGATGCCCCAAGCACTTCAACTGAAAACACATTGTTTTAGATAAAATATAAAGCAGATTTATTAACTACAGGAAGATAGATTGTAAGTGATTATAAGTAGCAGGCATAGAGACCAAAGCTGGTTACATAAGAAATAAAAATAAGTTAGCAGTCTAAATTCTACACACTGAGCAAGATTTGAATCAAGCAGTTTCTCACTCCACTAGATGTTCTAGGCAGTTTACAGCTCTTAATACATAGTGTGAATTCCCTTCCTAGCCTGGGACTAGTCTCCCCAGTTCAAAATCTTTGTCTTCCAGACAATCTTCCAAGTATTGAGATGGGGGAGGAGAGAGGCCAGATGATGTCATTGTCCCTCCTTTTTATACTTTCTTCCAGCTGCTAGAAAGATCCTTGAAGTGACATGGGGGTTAGGCAGCCCTCGTTGCATAGGTGCCCTCTCTGAGAAGTCTTTTGCAGAGTAGATAGGTGTTGATGGGCCGTCAACACCTGTCTGGCCAGTGATAGCTGCTTCTTTGTTGCGAACGAAGGGCTGGCTGTGGGTGTCTTCCAACCTCACATGTTTCAGTAAAACACACATAGCATAACTTCAGATACAATGATAGTACATATGATTCAACAGAACATTAATGTTAAACAGATCAAGACTTCTTAAATGATACCTCACAAGGCACTTTCCACAAAACATATAATCATATACACTGGTGAATATGGGTGCTATTTTGAGATACAGTGTGTCATAGGAACAAAGTCGTGTTTTGTTTTTAAATTACAAAATATGAAAATCCCATTCAGTTAACTACACGTTAAGCAAAGAGTTACTGTACTAACCTCTGTGTTTTGACACTTGGGTAATGCGTTATGTTCCTGAAAAATGCTACTTTAAGCAAAAAAATGTGAAGCGAATACAATTTCCCTATAAGAATTAATGTAAATGTGGGGGCTAGGTTCCAGGAAAATTCTTTCGCCAGACAAAAGACTGCATGTGCGTGTATACACACACACAGTATAAGTTTTAAACAAACAATTTAATACTGTACACAGCAATGATGATTGTGAAGCTTTGTTGAGGTGTAGAAGTCAGAGGGTGAGATATTTCCCAGGGAATGCCTTACTGCTAAATGATAAACTAGCAGTCAGCTGAGCCGTCAGGGGTTAACATGTTGTTAATATAGCCTCACACTCTACAAGGCAAAACGAATGGAGGGAGGGGAGACAGCATGGCAGAGAGAGACAGAGACACACCGTGTGTGAGAGAGAGATGCGCATTGCCCCTTTAAGTACGCTGACCCCACTCTAAGTACATTGCCTTTTTAAGTAGATCAGCAAGTTGAGACAATAGCTGCTGCCAGCAAGCTCCCTCTGTCCTGAGCCCTGTTGTCTCGCCCCTGCTCTATGGAAATGGGGTAAGGAGCAGAGGGGAGGGGAACACTCTCACATTAGCACCCCTTTCCTCCCCCGCCCCCCCCCTTGCACAGCAAGCAGGAAGCTCCTGGGAGCAGCTCCAAGGCAGAGGGCAGGAGCAGCACATGGCAGTGTGGGGGAGGGACAGCTGAACTGCCGGCAATTGATAGCCTGCTGGGCGGCTATAGGGAACTTAGGGGAGTGGGGAGCTGATGGGGGGCTGCCTGTGCACCCTGGTTCCAAGCCCCCACCAGGTAGCTCCAATGGGCTGCTCTTTCTGCAAGCAGTGGACAAAGCAGGCGGCTGCCAAATAACGTTATAAGGGAGCATTGCACAACTTTAAATGAGCATGTTCTCTAATTGATCAGCAACGAAACAATGTTAACTGGGATGACTTTAAGTGAGGAGTTACTCTATTTATAGATGCTTTTTGTGCTCCTGTGATTAAGTAAAGAGAGGTTTTGCCTTTAGTTTAAATTGTATAGGCCATTTGTCCTGGTTGAGATTTTCAAAAGTGCTCAGCATTGGCCTAATTCTGCTCCCACTGAAGTCTGTGGTAAAACTTCACAGAAACCTTTGACTTCAATGGATCAAAGTTAGGCTGTGCTAAGCGCTTTTGAAAATTCTACCCCTTGGCTAGTGTCTTGACCTGAACAGATGGGGGGGAAAATAAATCAGTAATTTTGTTTAGAAGTGCAAAGTACTATATGTGCGTTTATTGTAGGATCCTTAGCTAATGCAAATCAGTGTGTCCAGTGGCTTCAGTTGGAGCTATGGCTGATTTATACCAGCTAGGGTTCTGGTCTCTAATGTTTGAGTGCTCTTTTTAGTTTAGTACACAAACAAAGCATACGTCAACATGGTAGTTCTAGCATGTAGGTGAGGAACCCCCTATGATTCTGAGCTATACTAGACTGACTGTTTAGCTGCCACAATGTTAAATAATTCTCTACTTATGGCTTTCCTTGATGAGGGAATGTTACACATTTTAATATATTGCCCTATTTACTGTGCCTACCCCTGCTCCCGCTGTAGTCAAGGAGTTCAGTTAGCCTGTTTTGGTGGAGATGCCCATCATCATGGGTTAGGGGGGTGTATGAGAGTGGAGGGAAGAAGTACTCTTGTTGGGCTAGGTTCAGTAGCTCTTTTGTCTACTGTGCGGTTTTAGCAAGCTGTCTTCTTGCCAGCAGAGGGTTCTTAACGTCCTGCGAGGCAGAGCTGCAGGAGCTGATGAAGCAGATCGATATCATGGTGGCTCATAAGAAGTCTGAATGGGAAGGGCAGACCCAGGCTCTGGAGACCTGCTTGGAGATCCGAGATCAAGAGCTTTCCTCTGTCAGGACTCTGTTGGATGAGAAACACAAGGAGGTACAGCCCCAGGCTCACTCTGTCTAACATTCAGTGATATTCCTGTGCACGTTGTCCGTCAATATAGAATATACAAGAGCCAGCATAAATTTTCATTAATGTTCATTGTCTCTGCACAAAAATGTATTCACCTCAGTTACTGTTTTGTCAGAAGCATCTTGTTTTTTGTTGGTGTTTTATTGATTAAAGCTCAGAGATTAAGTGGTGAAGACTTCAATGAAAAAATGTAAATGTGTAACATGTCAGGTCTGTTAACCCTGTGTCAGGGAAAGCAGGAACCCTGCTTCACAACTGCGGACTACCTGTCATTGGCAAAGGAATGAGTTGCCTAACTCGCAGTGTTATTCAATGGAAACTGGGTGCCGAACTTCCCGTTTCAAGAAACCAGCCTGGACTCTCAAAGTCCCTTGTGAGATCCTAGAAACACCTTATCTGGTCACAGAAGTCAAAAGCAAACTGAATACTTCCAATCACAAGGGTAATGAGAAAGCTAATTGCTAAACTGCACCAAGTGATGATCCAGTGTTTCCAAACTGATTTGTTTTTTGAGGGCTGTGGCATTAGTTTTGTGGGGTTTCAAAAGTATATGTAACAAATTCCTGTGTCATTACTGTACATATAGATCAAGTAGCAAAGCTTCTGTGGTCTGTGTTTATAATGATATTAAACTTAACTCATTTTACAAGGAGCAATGTTGCACCTTCTCTTGAGTGCTAGGAGATCAAGAGGACTGTGGTGGGCTGTGGGACTGTCTCTGACCTTTAGCTGTACTTCATTTATTTTAAAATCTTGCCTCACATTGTACAGCTTCTTTGTCCTGTTTGTTCCTTGTTAGCACATTGCCCTCCCCATAAGTAGCGTGTTAGTTGCACTCCAGGGATGTGGGGAAGGCATTCAAGTTTTAACATGTTGGGACTGGAATTTGCACCTTCATCACAAAACTTGTTTGTGACTGAGTATATAAATTGTGTTTTGGGTGCCTTTGTCACCGTGGAACTAGAGGTATTTCTATGGCCCCTAAACTACACCTAAGTATGTATATAACTACTAGTAGATCTGGTGTAGAATCTAGGTTAACAAGACAATGAGCAGGAGAAAAAAAGAGAGTCGGGTAGCTTATATTGGTAATGTGTTGGGAATTTATTTTTTAGTGCCCTACTCTCTTCTCTAGATATTAATGATTGACAGGGTAAGTATTAGGATTAGCATGTCCAGAATACAGTTATTTTGTATCAGGCCACCAGTATTCACAACCAGTTTGAATGAAGTTTCTTTGTATGGGTCATGATCACACTTTTACCAGTTTTTTATTTCACTGAAAACTTTTGAGAGATTCCCTATCACCAGAGACAAACTATACATTTCTTATGCTGAGATGTGTTTGTAAATATATATATATATATATATATATATTTTACATTGCCCAAATCTTTTTTGTTGTTGTTGCTTTTCAGACATACAATTAGACAGGTCTCTGCCCTAGAGTTCCGAGAAGGGGAAAGGATGCGAGGAAGAAGGAAAATGAGTTGTTTTTTTTTTTAAAAAAAAAAAGCCTTTAAAGGAGGAATAATCTCCCATTTGCCTGTTTTGAAGCCTGTTTTCTTTTATTCCTCTCTTCTCCCCTCCCTGCATATAGAATTTGAAGAATTTCTTCTTACTCCCTGCAGATGAAACAGCGGAGGTGGCTGTCTTTGTTGCTGACAAATAGCTTGAAATGATAATCCGCATTTCTGATCAGTCACATCTGCCCCCCTCCCCCCGACCTTTTGGCGTAAACTGAGTTTGGCAAATTTCAGCCCCAAAGATGCAAATTTTAGAAAACTGATTGGCTGAAAACAAGGGGTTGAAATGGAAGCAATTCTGCAAATGTAGGTCAAATCCGGCAAAGAGTTAAGCACACACTTAAACTGATGCTTGGTGAGTAACCCCATTGAAACCAGTAGGACAATAGCATTTCTTGTACCAGGACCTTAGCTGTAACAGTTGCTACCACTTATACTATAATGTGTGTTTATGTATGTAATATATACTATGAAATTAAAATACAGTAATCCTTCAATTTCCACATCTACTGGTGAGACAGCCAGCTGTGTTGAGTCTGCTGCTTCTGTGCTGATAGTCACTGTGCTGTGTTTTAACTCTTTCTTTAGGTCGGTAGGTTGCGCCAGCAGTTAGAACACACTGAGCAAGTCCAACAAGGCATGGTTGTGGAGTATGAACAGCAGCTGAAGAAGTTTCAAGAAGAGGTGGGTTTCAGAAAGATGAGATTTGGTGTTGAAACCCCAGTCTATGCCTTGTGGTCTGATAGATTAAATGTTTCATTTCGTCACTGTCCTTTTGAATGCTGTGATTTTCTTAATCCTCCCTTCCCCACTGTGTGCCAAAACAAGAGGATTGATTAGCAACAAAATAATATTTTACATTTATATAGCACTCTTCATCTCATTCCAAAGATTACTGTGAAAGTGAAAATACTTGCTGTAAACTGAAGTCAGGTCCACACTCTAAAGTTAAGTCGACCCAGCTATGTCGCATAGGGGTGTGGAAAAATCCTCACCCCTGAGCAGTGTAGTTAAACCAAACTAACCCCTGCCATAGACAGTGATCAGCTGACAGAAGAATTCTTCCATCGCCCTAACTATTGCCTCTTGGCAAGGTGGATTAACTATGGCAATGGGAGAATCCCTCCTGTCGTTGTAGTGAGTGGCTACCCTGAAGCACTATAACTGCGCAGCTGTAATGTTTCAAGCATAGACTAGCCCTTATTGTGGCTACTTTCAGGTGTGTTAAAAAGCGGCAGAAGTTTACAGCCAAGGTTTCCTGTCTTCTCTCACCCCAGACACCCCTATGCTTGTGCTTATGTTGCTTTGTTGCTCTCCCAGCATAGCATGAAATTTAAAGAAAGCACAGCTCTGCAGCTGGCCTTTTTCATGTGAAATAAACATGAGATGATGACTTTTCCTGCGGCAGATATATACCTCCCTCTGGAAGTACAGTCATGGTGGCCGAGAGAAGGTGGCAACCATCCACCGCGTGGTATACTGACTCCACCAGTGCATGGGCATGTGTCGGGGGATTTGAATTGAGCCAAGGATACCAACCTCCTCCTTAAAATTGCTATGGAGTCTACGTCATGTCCTTGTAGATCAAAAATACTCTGTGTTTTACGGTCTCCTACAAAATTTCTGTATCTCCTTATTTTAGGATTTTATCCTGCCGCCCATTATGGTAGTCTGTGTGCACCTGCCATGTAAAATGGGTTCAATTTGGTAGTGACAGAATATCATTATTCTGGTGGCTTTTCAGAGGCTAGTGTGTAGTCAGTTGATCTCAGTCCTTTTACCAGTGAATGGGTATCCACATTCCTGAGACCAGCATGCCTGTTGATATTCTTGTTGATATCTCGGGAAATTCTAGCTGTTGAATCAGCATAGAGCCTGACCCTCGAGGCCAGGGCTGAAGGAGATTGGCAGAATGGGGTGGGGTGGGGGGGGGGTTTACTACTGGTTCTGCCTGTATTCTTGTTCTTTGAAGGTGACTCCATTCTCCCAGGCATGATGATATCACTAAATTTACTTGACAAAGACTTTTAAAAAGAGTTCCACACTCTTCATTCCACAAAGGATGTCCTGCCCACTGTAATGTAACAGATGCTGAGATTTTCTGCGGGTGGGCTGACAGTATTTCATGTAAGTGCCTTAATGATTACTTCTGTTTCCATTGGCTTGTCAGTAGTGTGGAGCTAAATGCCAGGAGAGGGTAGCAGTGCATTATCTCTGGAGGATTGGGCTCAGTTCCTGCTTACTGTAGGTCATAAGTATAATTAATTTGGTAGTCTCAATTTAGTGTGCAGAAGACATCTTTCCTCATTTAAAACCCCCTTACATTTCAGCATGATGAACAGTCTTTGTTCAGGAAATGTCCCCACTGGAATAGTAGAGATGCTGCTAGGCCAGACTGAAGTGCATTAACAGATCTGTCTTAAAGCTCAGGACTGGAATCGCAACTGTGGTGTGGGTCAAGACTGAGGCGCATTAGTATTGAACTCAAAAAGGGATAATGTGGTGGGGGTTAGAACAGGAGACTGAGGAATCCTGGGGTCTAATCCCCAAACTGCTTGCTTTGTGTCTGTAGGAAAGCCTCACAACCTCCCCCTGCCCCAAGTCACCCATCATTATAAATGTGATAGTTGATACTAGATAATCTATAAATCACAGAGATGTTGCAAGGCTAAATCTATATTTGTAAAGCTTTCTGGCTCCCACTCAGCAAAGCGCATAAGTATGTGCTTAATTTTAAATGTGTGCGTAAGTCCATTCCTGTTCCGCAAAGCGTTTAATCACTTTGCTGAATCAGGAGATCCTCTTCTGAAAGGAAGCATGGCTTTGTGGGTAAAGCACAGGACTGGGAATGATGAGATTTAGGTTCACTTCCTGGCTCTGTTCATGTGTTTCTTTTAGAACCATGGGCAAGTCACGAACCCACTCTGTGCCTCATTTTATCCATCTGTAAAATGGAGATATTTCCCCAATTCACAGGATGTTAAGAGCTTTATTTTGTCAGTGTTTGTAAAGAAATTAGATAATCAGGTGGCAAATGCTCTGTTTAAGTTCAAAATATTTGATCAAAGATGCTATTTAAATGCAAAGTATTTATTATTCAAGTTTTTTAATAAAATTAGAATTCTAGCAGTAGACATGGGTGACGTTCTTCCTTATCTTTCTCCAGTCAGTGGGGAAATTTATGACCTAGCTAAGCAACCAGTATGACAAGATGAGTGGCTGTTGTATCGCATACACTGGAATTTCATGAATGTCTTTCACCTACATCCTTGATAGGTTCGTAGTCAAGCCTCACAGCGTTCTGTTTTTCTTTGGGTGCTGTCACTCCATGTTTCTGTAACCCATATCTGCTCAGCAAGGTACTTTGTCTCCCTCTGGTGCTGGGTGGGCCACAGACAGAAGTTTATGAGCCTGGTACAGCCTTGGCTGACAGAGCTGGGTATTATGTATTTTAGCTCGGGCAGTAGGGGCTCCTGCCTTAAGTCCATAAGACCCAGGTTCAATTTCTGCTGCTGCTGATCCACCCAGCGGCAAACCACTGTGGCACAATCCAGCATATTTTGATACATTATGGAGTACATATAGTACTTTTTGTTTATTATACAGGTAGAGAAATCTTCTTCTGCCAACCGGATGGTCTTGGTTTGAGGGAGTATCTCTATAAAATGACTTTATGTCCCTTCCTTCAGAATGCTTCATTAATTTAATGCACTGTGACCTTGACCAGCATTATCAAAAATTGCACTGACTTCCTTGCAGCTAGGCAGGCTGAAGAGAAGCTATGAGAAGCTGCAGAAGAAACAACTGAAAGAAGCTAGGGAGGGTCCCAAGAGCCACGGGGATGACCGGTCCGAAGTGAGCAGATTGACTAAGAAGATAGAGGTGTGTGGATAATAGAAGCCATGGCCATTGTTCATACAAACCAAACTGACTTGTTTCAGGTTCAGTAGCAACTCTGAATGTTTAATAAGCAAGTGGACTGTGAGTGCAAATACTCAGTCCACTCACCCCTGCATTCGCTGTCCTTGTGCTCTTGTGTAGCAAAGGCCATTTCTGCACTGGTCCTCTCCATGATGCTGCCCAGTTTAATTGGGATCGCATGTGAGTTCATGAATATTGTGTCCGCCAGGATTTTATAAAAGAGCGGGGCAAGCTGTCACAGGTATGTGTGTGTGTGTGCGGAGAGTAGGTGAGAACTGTTTGAAAATGTAAAAAGAAACATATGATTACTGGTAAACATATTTTTATCGCCTTAGCACAATGGTGCCCAATCTCTTTTGGGGCCTGCTGCTATTTTAATACAGTTAATAAATGATATTATTGTTATCATGGATTAAATCAAAGGTGAGTGGATGTTTTAAGGACAAGACAGTATGTAAAGGTAGAAAATTCAAGCACGATGGGGTTGTTACCACAGAGTTTGGAGGAAATTCTCTGCATGAGTGTTTTCCAAGTCCAGCTTGTCTTTAATCTTACTACCATGATGAGACCAGCCATATTCTTTCATCTTTGATAGCACCACTTAGAAGTTGGTAACGAATCTCCCCAAAACACCTCTATGAGGCAGTGTCTGATTTCTGGGTTAAGAATTATTGTTACTTCATACTTGCAAACTTAGTGAGTTCAGTAGCAACCTTTTCTTGTAAAGTTACAGGGAAGTAGAATTGTTAATGCTCTGACAGCAAATCTGTAGAGCTGGTCATGAATCAGCACTCAACATCTGTAAGTAGCAGTAATTGACATGAAGGTTTTAACTCAGAGAGAGCAATGCCACAGCACAGTGTGAGGGACTTTTTAATGCTGAGTCAGTGCATTAAATGACTGGCTAATGGTTTCCCTGCTGTGGAGGAAGGCTCACGAGTATACAGTGGCAGGAGAGAGAATGTTAGTGAGAGTTGGGAGGGGATGATCTTGACAACCAAATGGGTGGTAAATTCCAGGTCATCTCAATCATCCTTGCAGGAATTCCGCCAGAAAGCTCTAGACTGGGAGAAGCAGCGGTTGCTTTACCAGCAACAGGTGGCGTCACTGGAGGCCCAGAGGAAGGCTTTGACAGAGCAATCTGAGCTCATGCAGGTACAATTAATGTGCGCTGAAAGTTGTTTGTTTGCAGTGACGAGCTAATGAAATCCCTCAAGTGTGAATCCACTTCAGATCGCAACTGAAATGACTTTATCGGTCCTAATGGAGTAAACTCATCTATACAGTACAAGCAATGAAAGATCTGAAGTCTGTTAATGGAGGCTGGCTAAACCTTCCCCATGGCTCCCATACACTCAGTCTCACTCATAAATATTAGGAGGGGGAAGATAGTAAGATAAGTGTTTCTGGGAGTGGGGGGGAGATTACAGGACATGACACTTTAAAATAACTTTTGTCACGTCCTGTTCAAAGCTATGTACCTGCCAATCCTCAGCTGTGTAGCTGCAGCTATACAGAAGTTGCTCTTTGAAAATAGTCTTGTCGTACAAAAGGCATTTGCCACACGGTAGCAAAGTAACAGCAGTTTCTAGCTCTGTTTTTGAGGCTCTTAAAACAGGAGCAGAATGGTGCTGTTGTTCCTGAAAAGTTAATCCATTCCCGAGCTAATGCTGCTGCAGTAGTCTGATGAGCTGACCGAGACCCCAGCTGTGAAGATGCTTACACTGACACAATTACAGCAAATGCTGATGATAAGCTCTTGTTGGGAGCTTTTCACTTAATGGGCACCTGAATTGCTGCTGAGTGGAAGCTCTGGCAAGGAGGAGTTTTGCAGTTTGTGTTGACAGGATTGGAGTTGGCACTAATGGCGCTTTATGAGGGGCCAACACTAGCAGATCCACAAATGCCGAGTGGGCCTTTGAGCAGAAGGTCTCACCGCTGCTGTCTCTCTCCTTGCTATTTCAGTCTTCCAAGGAGAGACGTGTCCTTGGAGCACTGGCCAGTGTGTTAGATCACAGTGTAGCAGAAAAATGGGACATTTACGTTGCGATTTCCAAAGCAGTCTCGGGGACTTAAGCTCACCTTTATTGGCAAATGTGATGGAAGCCTAAATCCTCACGACTGCGTTGGAAATCTCAACCTAAAAAAATAAAACCTGTCACAAACACATCCTGACAGCATTTTCTGGTTTTGTTTTTTTCTGACAAAGGGTTGGATGAGATCTGCAGATCCCATGCACACTCTTGCCCCCACCCAACCCATTAGTCAGGGGTGCTGTTTTTCCAGCTAAGGATGACTGGATTCCCTTTTGTCACTGTAACTGTGCAGGTTACTCTGGAGTAGACCGTGGCTTTCTCTTGCCCAGTGAGGAGTGCCAACCCTCCATCCCTGCCAGCCTAATAAACTAAAGGCTGGCAACCAAAACTGGGTCTCCTACATGGCACCATAGGAGATTATGGCTAGGCCTTTCCTTTGTGGGTCTTAACTTTTACTTTCAGGCTTTCCATTTATTGCAGAAACTGTCCATGAATTCAGCCAGTCTGGCATGTTGGTTTATTGGGCCATCTCGGGCAACCACATGCTTTTACTTTCATAGCAATTGCTCCTTGTGATCCAGGTTTGTGTATTGTTTGCAAGGGTAATGACAGCACTGCGTATATTGGGCACTACATAAAAAAGGTGTTCAGAAAGTGATGTTCTTAGAGGCATATGACATTACTCATTTGTTAAATTATGTCAGTCTGCAAATAGGGAAGGTATTGTTTGTCAGTGATATGTTTAATGTAAGTATTCTATTCTATTCCTTTCTCTAATTTACATTTAAAACAATAAAACCTTAAAATCTCAAGAAAGTGAGTGTTCTAGCAAGCTTCTAGTACCGGAGATTCACTGCATGAAACAGAACATGACTGGCTGTTGCCGTCACTCCAGTTTCTAATTTCTATTTGATTCCTTTTCCATCTGTCAGGAGTTGCTCCTTGTCTCCATGTGGGATTAACAGATTTGCCTGGCTTTGTAGTTCATATATGGTATTTCCAAATCTGCTTCCACTTTGTCCTCTGGCTAGATCTAACCCCTGGGTTGATGGACAGGGAACTTAGGCCGCTTTACTGTTTGTTCAATCTCTTGGGCAGTGTGGGTTGTCTGCTTCAGAGATTCTCTTTCTTTAGATGCCCTCAGAACCTCTTTTGGAATCATAAGGATGCCGTCAAATTCCTTTCTTCTCCCCACCTCAAAGGCCTCACCTATGTACAATCCTGACGCAGCACCTCCTGTTGTTCCCTGAAGGGCAGCACTGCTTTCAGAGAAAATGGCATGTTGCATCGAGAAGTATCGGTGTGGAGCCTTCATGAAGCTTCGAATCTGTTTATTTCACCTCTCTTTATATGTAATTTAGCTATAACACAGCAACAACCTCTGTCAGCAGACTCAGCTCACCAATCGGAAGCAGATGCTGGAATCTGTGCAACTGGCCAGCCAATCGGAAATCCAGCATTTAACCAGCAAACTGGAGCGAGCCAATGATACCATCTGTGCCAATGAGCTGGAGGTGGAGAGGCTTAACATGAGAGTGGATGACTTGACTGGAGCCAATCAGAAGATTCTGGAGGATCACCAAAGAGTCCAAGAGGAGCTGGGGCATTCTAAGAAAATGCTGGAGGTTTGTGAGAAGTAGCAGTGAGAGCTGTCCATGGAGGGTGCTGGGGGTAGTTCAGTGCATTCCAGATTATCACCTGGGAGGTACAGTCACCCTGGAGATCTCCCACCCTTCCATCAGTGCCTTTGTGTGAGGCTCCAAGCTGGCTGTGAGGCCAGCTTTGTACCCATGTGGCATTGTGAGCCCATTACCCATCTAATGCTTCTTTTGGCATCTGAAAATACAATTCATTTCCAGCCCAACTATACTAAACTGATTCTGTCCATTCCTGCAACAGTAACTTCCATTTCCTCTCTTGTAGGTATTACAAGAGGAGAAGTTGGAGCTGAGAGTCACTCTGCAGTCCCAGGAGGATTTCATTAAGAGCTCAAAGATGCATCAGGAGCAGTTACATAAGGAGCTGGCCAGCGTAACTGAAACCCTGCACAGCAAGGAGCTCCTTACCAGGTCTGATCCTTGGCATCTAAATGTGGTTGGCCATCACCCCACTCAATGTAGATCTGTGACCTTAAGTGACTCTCTGAGCCTGTGGAGCTCTATCTGTATGCTTGGAGTCTGAGCTCATGGCTGTTAGTATGCTCTAGGGGGACGCTGTAAGGTAAGGGTGCCCGTTCTTCATTTGCTTCAAAAGCAGTCGGCATCCAAACAGTGAAGAAGTATTGTAAATACAGAGGGGTTCAGCCTTGGCTCTCTGGTAGGTTTCCTGAGTCAGTGCATTGTGGTTTGATTCCCTTTTCGTGCATTTCAGGCGAGTAGTGGAGAGAGAAAACATCCTTTGGCCACTAAATGTACTCATTGAAGTCAGTGCAAAGGTCCCATTAACTTTAAGGGCATAGGGTCAAGGCTTCAGCAAGGTTATAATGATTGTGGCAAAGGCATCAGCCGCTTTCTGCCTTGATACTGGTGGAGAGAGACACTGAAGTATACACAGGAGATCTAGCAGCTATGCCTTTCCCTGCAGCAGGGATTACTGAGCATCTGCCAGTGGGATTGAAATTGCCCAGTTGTGTTGGTTTTTTTACTAATTTGGTGGCGGCCTGTCATAATCTGACTGAATTCAAACATGGGCCTGTCATCAGGATGAGATGCTTGGGGCATCCAGAATATCCACAGATGCCACATTATAGCATTACGTCTTGGTGGATTTTGTAGAGCTAGAGTAGAGACGAGATGGGTGAGGTAATGTCTTTTATTGGACTGCCTTGTGTTGTCAGAGAATAGAAAATATCACTGTTCTTATATCAATACACAGGGGGATGAGGTGTGTCAAGAGACTAAGGCCTTCTGGGATGGTCCTGTGTTTGTGCATAGGTCACTGGAAGAACACCTGCGTGAGAAATGGCTGTCACAGGAGTTCCCAGAGCTGGAGCATGTACTCCTGCAGTTGGATCTTGCACAGAAGAATGAAAAGAACCTACAGTCAGAGGTGGCTCGTCTTGAGGGCAGGTAGAGGACAACTTCAAAATTCAGTCACACACAGACAATATGGCATGTATAATGTCTTATTCACCAGCGCTGTTAACCACAGTAAAATCGTCCAAACCACTAGTATTTTAAGAGTCCATAGAAATCTGAGTCTAAAATCTTACCACAGTGGGATGTTAGGGTTAGTTTGTTTGTTTGTTAAATATACCTTTTTAGGTTTTAAAAAATATTTTCTTTAGTATGCTTAGACATGTCATTTTCCTTTGTAGTGGAGAGGGAAATCTTTGTTAAACTAAATAGCCAGTCAGCTGCTGAGAGCTACATCTCATCTTTCCTGTTCTGAGTAAAAACTGTGATGGAATTTCTCCACTGATGGATCTGTAGAGAAGATCCCCGGTTTACAAGGGAAGTTGGTAACTTTCCTTTGGTAAGGAAAAGAGAAATGGCTGTATCTAATCAGAAAAGATTGCAGTAGTCTTGGTCTGTCAAAATGACTTCGGTAGAGAGGATAGATGTGTGAATGCTGGTTTCCTGAGATAACCTGCATTGTGGCTCATGGGGGGTGTTTTTAAATTGTGATTTGTTTGTTTGTTTCTGCCCCCAGCCTGGGAGTCATAAATGCCAGGTGTATACAGCTGAGCAAGGAGCTGACAGAGAAGTGCAAAGAGCTGCGGGTGACGGAAGAACACCACTGCCTGGCCAAGGCTGAGATTAAAAAGGTAAGACCCCTGAGCCTTAGAGTGGGAGCGAGGTTTGAGGACTAGCTAGCACAGTTGCCCACAACAACTCTGTGTGCTCTGTATTAGCAAAGCAAAGAAAGGGATGAAGGAACAGAGTATGTTGTGGGGAAAATGGTTGCTCAGAATGAAGGGATGGGAGAGAACTGAGGATCCCACACGCAACTTTCCCTTATGTCTTTTTTTTTTTTTTTTTTTACCTTGAGTGGAAGAGAGTAGTCTTGGTCTGTGCTTTTAAAAGTGGCAGTGGATGGCTGAAGGAAATAAGCAATGGAAGGGCCTCACTGACATAGCAGTTCTTCTTCGAGTGATTGATCATTGCATTCCAATAGGTGTGTGCACGATTGTCAGAAGGGTTTTCCCCTAGCGGTACCTGTCAGGTCAGCTGTGGAGACCCCTGGAGTGGCGCCTTCATGGCGGTGTATATAGGTCCCTGCCGACCCGCTGCCTGCTCAGGTCGGTCTTACCGCCAGTGATGGTCGTTGTAGCAGCTCAGTCTCTTGCATTCGCAAATGGCTACCTAGTGGTTCCCTTTTCTTATTTGTAAATAGTTAATCAATAGTTGTACAGTAGTTAAGCTTACTTTGAGGGGCTCCCCCCCACCCTGGTTTTCCCCAGGCACCGGGGCATGCCTCAGTCACAGGAGTTTAAGGCATGCGAGAGGTGTACGAAACCTATGCCCAGAGGTGATCACACGCTGCTTGTCTTAAGTGCCTAGGAGAAGGTCATCAGACAGACAAGTGACCAATTTGCAGGAGCTTTAGACCCAGGACTAAGAGAGAGCAGGACTATCATTTAAAGCTCTTCCTGATGGAGTTGGCCCTCTGCCCTCAGCCGGTACTGGAAATGGCACCGGCATCATCAGTGTGCAGCGCCCCAGCCTCAGTGCACTGAGGAAAGACCTCTTCACCGCTTACAGTCCCCAGTGCCTCATAAGAAAAAGAAGGCGGACGGGGGTCGTTCCCCCTAATAAGAAGCCGCAAGGGGAATCCAGCGGGGTGCATCCTGTGGCAGGACACCCACGGCTTGGCTCTCAAGACCTGGCACCATTGATTCTGGCCCCGATCAGAGGTCCGTCGAGTTCAGTGCTGGTGGATTCCTCCAAATCCTCCTGAAGAGCTCGACCTTCCCTCCACGCTGGATGCCTACAAGGCAATGTGGGACCTTATTGCCATGACGGCGCAGTCCCGGCCCCGCAGATGTGAGCGACAGCACCGCTGCAGATGCCGGCTCAAGTTCAGGCACTGTCAGCGGCACTGACAACGGCACCGTCTGTGGCATCTATGATGGTGCCCCATGTGGCACCATCTCCGGCACCCTTCATGGCAGTGATGGTGGCACTGGCCCGTGTTCATCATCACAGCAAGCCCATGATGTTACAGCACCTCTACCCATTACCCTGGTACCGCTCCCTGGCACCATCAGGCTCTCTCTCCTTGTGGTCGGGCTCAGAGTACTCTTCCAAGTCGGAGGCTGAGTTTTCTGTGTCCTGATGCAGCCAGTACCACTCGTGGTCCTGGCACTGCAGAGTTGTGGACTCGTCGGCACCGGTGGTATCCTGGCCACCCCAGTGGCAGGGCCGAGTACAAAGGCCCAAGCAGTCCAAAAGGGCCAATCATCAGGCTCAGGGCTCCAGGGCTGCATTGATGACGTCTGCACCCTGTGCCCTATCCTCAGCAATGTCTGTGTCTCACCACACATCCAGGGCTCCGGAGGATCCTGCATGAGACAAGGACTCTGGGCTGTCACACTTAGGAACAGCACCCGAACCAGTACCACCAGTTGTACTGGAGCCACCTCCAGTCACGGGGGGACTGACACACCTGACCCAGCCTCCAGGGAGCCAGAAAGGCAGGAAGACCTGGTCCCACGGACCTCCTCCTCCTCCTCGCCAGACGAGGCGGTGGCAGGCAGCACCACCACCCTGCCAGCGATGGACACCAGGGGATACCAGGACCTTCTTAGGAGGGTGGCCCTAAACCTCCAGGCGGAGGAGGTCACAGAGGAGTCGGACCCAATGGTGGACATCCTTGCCCTGGAGGGTCCATCTAGGGTGGCTGTGTCCCTGATAAGAACTATCCAGAATGCTACTAGGGTGCTCTGGCAGAGTCTGGCCCCTATACCACCCACTGCTAAAGGGGTGGGGAGACGTTATTTTGTGCCGCAGAAAGGGTATGAACACCTTTTCACCCACCCACCAACCCAGGGACTCTAGTGGTCAAAGTGGCAAACCATAAGGAGCGATGGGGCAGCCAGGTGCCGGTCCAAAGTCACGGGATGCTAAGCAGCTGGACTTTTTCGGCTGAAAGGTCTACTTGACTGTAGGGCTCCAGCTTCGAGTGGCCAACCAGCAAGCGGTACTCAGCCACTATGCTTTCAATTCCTGGAGCACTTTAACAAAGTTTCAGGAGTTGCTCCCGGCTTTCTCGCACAAGGAATTTGATGTGCTTCTCGAAGAGGGCAGAGTGGTCCCAAGATCCTCCATCCAGGCTGCGTTAGACGTGGCAGACTTGGCGGCTCGGACTATGGCCTCCACCGTTACAATGAGACACAGCGCGTGGCAGCAGGTGTCCGGGATACCACCGGAGACCTGTCCTTTGACTGTGCAGGCTTGTTTGTCCAAAATACGGACTCTTGCTTGAACAGTCTTAAGGGCTCGTGGGCGACTCTAAAGTCTTTGGGAATCCAGACCCCTGCATCCCAAAGAAAGCCATTTAAGTCTCAGCCCCCATCCCGCTTCTATTCTCGGCCCCCGAGGCGAGACTCGTGCTGGAGACAGGGGCAGGAATCATAGGAGATGCCCGTCACAGTCCTCCTCAGGCCCAGGCCAGGGTTCTTCCAAACAGCCCCCCGTGGGCCCAAAGCCAAACTTTTGAAGATGCACCCGAGGACGGAGCACCAGTACTGAGCTTGGATCCTTACCCCCTCTTCGTGAATTTACTGTCTCACTTCTACTCTGCTTGGTCTCAGATCACATCAGATCACTGGATTCTAAGCACGGTGGCCGTGGGATATTTTGTCCAATTCTATTCCCTCCTACCCCCCTTCCTTGTCCCTCTACAGGGACCCTTCTCACAAACTACTCCTGCAAGAAGTGCAATCGCCCCTCTCTCTTGGGCAATAGAGGAGGTTCCTCAGTAGTTTGGGACTACTCCCGCTATTTCTCCATCCCCAAGGCCAAGGGTGGGCTCTGGTCTATTTTGGCTCTGCGAGACCGTAACAAATTCATAAGGAAAGTTTCGCATGGTCTCTCTGGCCTCCATCATTCCTTCCCTGGATCTGGGGGACTGGTATGCCACCCTTGACTTGAAAGATACGTACTTTCATATTTCCATTATTCCGGCCCACAGACGGTTTCTTTACTTTATGGTCAGTGGCCAGCACTACTAGTTCAGGGTGCTCCCATTTGGGCTTTCGGTGCCCCTCCTGGGTATCCATGAAGTGTGTGGCGGATGACTGGCTCATGAAGGCCAAGTTGCAAGCACAGGCTGTGAAGCGTGTCTCTCTGTCTCGGGCCACCTTCCTCAGGCTGGGCCTCATATTGAATGTGCCCAAATCTACACTAGTCCTGATGCAGAGAATAGAATTCATAGGAGCTCTCTTGGACTCCATGCAGGCCAGGGCATTCCTGCCCAAGCTGCATTTTCAAGGACTCAGGGACATTATTGAAAACCTTCACCGATTTCCCCACAATGATGGCCAGAAATTGCATGAAACTGTTGGGGCATATGTCAGCCTGTACAAAATGAGCTGGCCGATTGCCTCAGCCGGGCGTTTCACAATCACGAATGGTCCCTCAGGCTGGACATCGTGCATACGATTTTCCAGAGATGGGGCTTTCCCCACATAAACTGTTCACGACGCGGAGCAACAGGAAGTGCCAGCGGTTCTGCTAGATTCTGAACCACAGCCCAGGATCCATCACGGACGCCTTTCACCTTTCGTGGACGAGTCACCTGCTGTACACGTTCCCGCTCTTCCCTCTCATACACAAAGTCCTCCTCAAGACTCGCCAGGAAGGGGCTTCCTTGATCCTCGTAGAGCCAGCGTGACCCCACCAGCACTGATTCACCATGCTGTTGAACCTCTCAGTGGACAGACCACAAGCCCTTCCCGTGCGCCCGACCCTCATTACACAGGACCATGGCTGCCTGCAACACTCGAACCTGGAGTCCCTCCACCACACAGTGTGGAAACTCCATGGTTGAATCTGCTTGAGCTTCAGTGTTCGGACCCAGTGAGGGAAGACCTGCTGGGAAGTAGGAAACCCTCCACGCATGCCACATATCTGGTCTCTGCAGAGGGGCAGCCCTCCACAGCAAGCGCCAATTCCCTTTGTTTTGGACTACCTACTATACCTCAAGCAGCAGGGGTTGGCAATATAATCTCTCAGGGTACACCTGGCTGCCATTTCTGCCTTCCACCTGGGAGCAGCAGGTAGGTCAGTCTTCAGCAATCCCATGGTGGGCCAGTTTCTCAAAGACTTGGACAGACTTTATCCCCAGGTGCAACGGCCCGTTCCCCAGTGGGACCTCAACCTGGTCCTGTCCGCACTCATGAGGCCCCCTTTCGAGCCCATGGTGACCTGCCCTATGTCCTACCTTTCCTGGAAGGTAGCCATAACCTTGGCTAGAAGGGTCTCCGAGCTCAGCGCTGACTTCCGAGCCTCCCTATACAGTCTTTTATAAAGACAAGATGCTGTTACACCCTCACCCCATGTTTCTACCAAAGATAGTCTCCCAGTTTCATGTGAACCAGGACATTTTTACCTGTGTTCTTCCCTAAGCCCCATGCCAGTAACAGAGAGCAAATGCTCCATTCCCTGGATGTCAGTCGTGCCCTAGCATTCTACACTGAGGGCACAGAGGCATTTCATAAGTCACCATGGCTCTTTATTGCAATCACAGAGAATGAAGGGGCTTCCAATCTTGTCCCAGTGCATTTCATCGTGGATCACGTCCCGTATCAGGACGTGCTACGACCTGGCTAAGATTCCAGCCCCTTCGCTGACGGCGCACTCCACAAGAGCACAGGCTTCATCCGCAGCATTCCTGGAACAGGTCCCTATCCAGGATACATGCAAGGCAGCAATACGGTCTTCCATCCACATCTTCACGTTGCATTACGCCATCAACTAACAGGCGAGGGACGATGCAGCCTTCGGCAGGGCAGTCCTGCATCCAGCAACCAAGTGAACTCAGGAAGAACTTCTCCTCCAGGAAAACTGCTTGGAGGTCACCTATTGGAATGCACATGAGCAATCACTCGAAGAAGAAAAAATGGTTACCTACCTCTCGTCAGTGTTTGTTCTTTGAGATGTGTTGCTCATCTTCATTCCAAATCCCACATGCCTCCCCTCTGTCCAAGTATTCCAGCAAGAAGGAACTGAGAAGGTGGCGGGTTGGCAAGGAGCTATATACGCCGCCATGAAGGCGCCACTCCAGGGATATCCATAGCCGACCCGACGGGTACCGCTAGGGGAAAAACCTTCTGATGATCGTGCACGTGGTGCGCGCACCTATTGGAAAGGACATGAGCAACACCAGTTACGAGAGGTAGCTAACCTTTTTTTCCATTTTACTGTAGGTAGGAAAATGTGGTATAGTTCTGTGCAGAAAGTAACACCCAGAGAACTGTGGCTGTTTTTTGACATTAGTGCGAGGCTAACTGTCGTATATCCTGTCCATATATGTGGGGTTGTAGATTCCTTCCTGAGAAGGGGTGTGTTTAGAGCGATTCTGACCCTGGTTATGACAGCAGATTCGCAAAAGTAGAAGGAATTGAGATGAGGAGGTGATATCTAGCAGGCCCAGTGGTATAATGTGCTTCCCATTTCACTTCTTGAGATCTGTATCTGAACATGTTTTAGGGTAGTAAGTGTAATGAGTGAGTTTGTATCCGTCTAGATATCTAGGTACACAGCCATATGCTAGCACAGAACACAGCAGCTGTCTGCAGTGAACATATCACCCTAGTGCTCTGCCCTTGGCACTGGCTCCCCATGGAATACACCGCTCATATTTGGGTTATCCCTCCATGGGATTGGTCCTAGCAACCTGAGAGATCTCCCCCCACCCCCGCAACTATGACCTTAACAGCAACATCCTGCTGGGATGTTGAAACAGTATGCCACTGGGGTTAGGCTTGTCAGTGTGACAGACAGAACTTTCCCAGGAGCAGGAGCTAGCCTACAGACTTTGTTCCCACCAAGAAGTAAGGGATCGTCACCACACCCCTTTCAGACCGTACTGGAAATCTCATTTCTTCTATGTAGCTCTTCACATACACAGACACCTCATCTTAGACATGCCTATTTACTTACACACACAAACAGCTCCACAGGCTGGGGAAGAGGAAAGAGAAAGTGGTGGTCCTATTATTTCTATGTTTAAGTACTTGGGAGGCCGTGAGATACTACAGTGATGAGTGCTGTGTGGTATCTAGATAGACAGACTGTGGTGCTGTAGAAATAGGTCAGATTAGGGATGTAAAATACTGAACGGTTAACTGGTAAGCATTAGTCTTACCGGTTAACTGATCCTAACCATTAACCCCCAGCCCCGGGGCTGATTACATGACATAATTTTAATTGTTTAAATGGTTAACTTTTTAAACGGATATTTACATCTCTACTACAGATATGGCACTTTATAGATAGGTTGAGATCTGTGGGCTGATTTTCAGAAGGTTTAAGTGTTCACAGCTGCTATCAATGAGGGGTGTGGGTGTTCAGCCCTTTTGACGGGCTTAAGCTCTGCAGTGGGTACTTATTCACAACCGACTTCTTACCCCAACGGATAACTGGGGAAGCAGAAGACCACCAAAGGGATGAGATAGTTAGTTTGTTATAAGTCAGGATTGAAGTATGTTAACAGAAGATTCCGAGGAAGCTTGCATAGAGCTCTGCACCAGCCAGTGCTAAAATTATACATAACTCATGTGTCAGCACATCTGCTTTCTTGCTGTTTGTCCTTTAAAAATCCATGGGTGGTTCATGCATATCTCTCTCCAGCTGAAGGAGCAGCTGTCTCAGGCTGAACAAACTCATAGCAGTGAGCTAGAAGGGATGAAAAAGGAGATCTCCCAGTTGACGCAGGTGCTGCACCAGCGTGACATTGCTATCGCCTCGTCCAGCGGGTCCACTTCTGACATGGAGCAACGAATGAGAATGGAGATTGAAAGAGCAGAGAGGAAAGCTGTGGAGCACAGGGTAAAAATGACTGAAGGCTCTTCCTCTGTCTCCACGGCCCTTGGGGCCCTGAGGGTTGCAGCACAGAGTTCTGTATTTCAGCTAAGCTAATGCTTTCCTTCCCTCTTGTGTTTTTAGCCGTGGGATCCAGAGACTGGCATGATCAAAGCAAGGGACTGGAGAGCCTCCCAGGGAAGCTGTCTAACCTTGTTGTGTCCCCCACAGCCTCTTGCTTTCCTAACCAAACCTGTAGCCATTACTCGTCTTTCCTTCTAAAAGGGGTGTAGAAAATTTGAGTTTGATTTGGGTGAGGAGGATCCTATTGTAGCTGTCTATGGAGCTCTGGCATTATCCTAGGCTGTCAGCTGTGTGGAAGGAAAGGGGTAGAGAAGCTTTCCTTGAGCAAAGAGGAACTCTTGACAATCTCTACTTGATCAAGGTGAACCAACTCATTGTTCCATGTGGTACCAAAGTAGCAGCAGCTTTCAGCTCAATTTAGAGACTCTTAAACCAAGAGCAGAATGGTGCTGCTGTCTCTGGAAAGTCAGTCTGTTCATTGAGGTAGATCTGGAGATTACGAGCAAATGAGGATTACCAGAGGAAGGCTTCATGATCCCATCCAAACTGGAGCCCCTCTTAGTAACCATCCATATTTTGATCTCCATGCAAATTATCTTAGTGCGAAGGAAAGATAGGAAGAATATTAAGAGGCCAATATGGCTCCATAAGGAGCTCTGTAATGACCTGAAAATCAACAAAGAATCCCACAAAAAGTAGAAACATGGATGAATTGCTTAGGAGAAGTACAAAAGAAAATCACAAGGAAGGAGAGACAAAATCAGAAAGGCTAAAGCACAGAATGAGTTATACCTTGCAAAGGACATAATAGGCAATAAGAAGAGGCTCTATAAATACATGAGGAGCAAGATAAAGATGAAGGAAACTAGGTCCTTTACTTAGAGGGGAAGGAGAGCTAAGAAGCAACATCAAGAAAGTTGAGGTGTTTAATGACTATTTTGCTTCAGATATTCAGCACAATTAATGTTAACAAGGGGGAAGGAACACAAGCCAAAATAGGGAGAGAACAGGTTAAAGAATATTTAGATAAGGTAGATGTATTCAAGTTGGCAGGGCCTGCTTAAATTCATCGTAGGGTACTTAGGGAGCTAGCTGAAGCAATCTCAGAACAGTTAGAAATTCCCTTTTGATAACTCCTGAAGGACAGGTGAGATCCCAGAGGGCTGGAGAAACATAGTACCTATCTTTAAAAGGGGGAACAAAGAGGACCTAGTGAACTTTGATACCTTGCAAGACACTGGAACAAATAATTAAACAATCAGTTTGCAAGCACCTGGAGGATAACAGGGTTATAAGGAATAGTCAGCATGGATTTATCAAGAACAAATCATGTCAAACCAACCTAATTTCCTTCTTTGACTGGGTTATTAGCCTGACGGATAGAGAGGAAGCAGTAGAAGTGATACCTCTTGATTTTCGTAAGGCTTTTGACACAGTTCCATGTGATATTTTCATAAACAAACCAGGGAATTGTGGTCCAGATGATATTACTATAAAGTGGAATAACTGACTAGGTGGTAATACTGCTGAAAAGGATCAGGGGATTATAGGGGATCACAAACTGAATGAGTCAATAGTGTGATGCAGTTGCAAAAGAGACTAATGTCATTCTGGGGTGTATTAACAGGAGTGTCATAATGTAAGACATGGCAGGTAATTGTCCTGCTCTGCTTGTATTGGTGAAGTCTCAACTAGAGTAACTGTGTCCAGTTCAGGGCACCAAACTTTAGGAAACATGTGGACAAATTGGAGAGAGTCCAGAGGAGAGCAACAAATGTGATAAAAGGTTTAGAAAATCTGGACTATCGAGGAAAAGTCAACAAAACTGGGCATGTTTATTCTTGAGAAAAGAAGACTGAGTGGGACCTGATTAACAGCCTTAATACGTTAAGGGCTTTTATAAAGAGAATGTGATTGATTGTTCTCCATATCCTCTGAAGGTAGGATGAGAAGTAATAGGCTTAATCTGCAGCAAGGGAGATTTAGGTTAGATATTATGAATAACTTTCTAACTATTAGGGTAATTAAGCTCTGGAATAGGCTTTCAAGGGAAGTTATAACATCCTCATTATTGGAGATTTTTAAGAACAGGCTGGACAAACTCCTGGTCAAGATTTACTTGGTCCTGCCTCAGTGCAGGTGGCTCGACTTGATGACTTTTCAAGGTCCCTTCCAGTCCTTCATTTCTATGATTCTGTGAATTCAATTTGAGATCTCTTACATTAATTAGACTCTGGCAATAAAATCCTACAAACCAATGTGAAAATAGGATGGCTTGAACTGTGTATACTAAATAAGTTGTACAGGTGCCATTGCAAACTTAGTGGGGACTACAACTCAGAACTTTCTTCCTAAGCTACATTAGCATTTGAGCTAAAAGTGGGAAAAGATAGCATGTAGGTCTTTGATTAGTTATTTGTGTTCATCCTGTCTTCTCAGGTGATTCTGGTTCATTTGGAAACCCTGAGGCTGGAGAACCGTCACCTCTCTGAGATGTTGCAGAAGGTGGAGTCTAGTGTGTTGGGGGTATGGAATGTGGAATAGCAATTCAGATGACCTAGTGTCCTGGTGGTGGGCTGTATGGTAGCAATAGTAGTAGTGCTTATATCGCCTTCCACACCTAGGCTGCCAAGTGCTTGATAAAACTGGGTAAGCATCATTCCCTTCCATTGTACAGTTGAGGAAAGTGAGACCCAGAGATTATGATGATAGCTTGCTCTTATACAGCACTTTTCATCAGTAGATTTCAAAGGACTTGAGAAAGGAGGTTGATTTCATTATCCCTGTTACATTATCCACAGGTGGAGAAACTGAGGCACAGAAAGGGGAGGTGACTTGCTCAAGGTACCCATCAGACCAGTGGCAGAGCTGGGGATAGAACCCAGGACTCCCAATCCCTGGTTCAGTGCCCTAGCCACTGGCTCCTGCTGTCTCCTGTCATCACATTGTAGTACATGCCATGTTTTTATCAGCTTGCCTTCAAGCTCTGAGCAGATTCAAGAGTCTAACTATAAATCCCTGGTGCCTCCTCCACAAGTTTGAGAGCTATAAGTACTCTGGCTCTTGCAGCTACTGCACTGAAAATACATTTTACTTCCTGGTGAGAGGGAATTTGGTAGACTTTCCCCCCTCTCTTTAGTCAGTAGGCACTGGTGGAATGTGGCATTGAAAAACATGTACATTTACAGAAAATCTATTTGACTTGCTGCTACCACTAGATGTCGCTGTGGGTGGCAGTTCTGAATAATAGGGAGGGAGAGAAAGATGGGGCTTAGCATAAAGGGTGGAATATACTGGTCACTAATGCAGAGACTTCTCAGAGCAAAACATCCTTTCAGCCTGGGTTACTCCCCACCTGTGCAATGCACAGGAAAGTAAAATCAGTGACACTAAAATGAAGTAGCAGAAACATTCCGAGGGAAGATATTTCTGGGGCATTTTATTTATTTATGGAGAATACAAATGTTTGTTTTTCAACCAGCTCTAAAACGTACTAAGTTGTCGGAAGTCTGCAGTTTGTGCAAGAGAAACAGTTTTCTCCGGGGCTAGTCTGAGACTCCCAGGAACTAAAGACCATCCCAAACCTCACCATTTCCCATTGAAGTGCTAGGCACACATGTCCAACCTGCTTTCTTTAATATAAACCCAGAGTCGCACAGACCTCTTCAAAAAAAAAAAAAAACAAAACAAAAAAAAACAACAACCCTGACAACCCCACCAACACACAATTGTATGCTGCATACACAATTCTCCTACCTGGGTAGAGGATGAGAAAGAGAACAAATCACATGTGACAGATGTTAGTCTCATTGATTAATGCACAACTAGATAGTGCTGAGATACTGTGGACATAAGGGCATCGTAAGAACCCGAATAGAATGGAATAGACGGTGATAGCAGCCAGTTTGAATTACCAAGCCTATCAGCAAGTTGAAGACTTAACTGGTGGTCTCTGAACTTTTTCCAAGGTACAGCTTTGGGGTTGTCTGTGAATGGACAAAAAGAAAGAAGGGGAAAGTCTATAGAGGAAAAACAGTTGGGAAATAGAAATTTCCTTTCCCCAGTTAGAAAAGGGGGCAGGGAGAGAACTAGATGTCAAAAACTGAATCACTATAGTTGTGTACAAACAACCCATTCCTGCTTTTGAATGGCTTAACAACGTAAGTAATTAATGTGTGAAACTCAGAGAAAAGATTGGAAGTCGTATTTCAGAACTATATACATTTCTGCTCATGCCCACAGACCTGGCGTCGGCTATGTTACGTGTGTGTGTGGAGGGGAGGGGTTGCACAGAGGGAGTTTCTTTTGTCTATAATATGTTCTTGGAGGCAGAATTCTAGGTTTGTCAGTCCCAAGTCATTACTTTGCCACTTTGCTGCAGCAGGAAAGAAGTCATTCCCTATGTAAAGCCCATTCAAATAAATGGAAGGTGCCTAGTACATCTAGCCGCACCATTGCGCAAACACTTGTTTGGGTGTGCCTGAGGAGTCATTTAGCAGTTAAGTGACTCCCAAATTTGGCTTGTAAGTTCACTCTCAGTGAGATGAATGAAGGAAATTCACATCTCTGCTTGTTTAACTCATTCTGTCTGGTTGCAGACTCAATAAGAGAGCAGCAGTTGATTTACCCTCTGGAGGTGGTATTGCTAGTAAAAAGCCTGGAAATTTCACTCCTTAAAATGGGACTCCTAGAATACGTTCTAGGAAGAACGTGGTTTATCTGTGCTCTGGATCTAGATTCTCTGTAAAAATCCTGAAAAATACAAGTTTGGATTGACTTCAACATCTCTCCCTTTGTTAGGCAAAAGATGTCCATGTAACAGACATTCAAGAAAGCTACACCACAGCACTAAATAAATTAGAGTCTGAGAACCAGCAACTGCAGAAGAACTTGGCAGAGACTAGAGCTAAGTTAGAGCTCTCCACTCAGGTCTGCCGGGACAAGTATGAGAGCATCGTGCAGCAAATGCAAAGCAAAGTGACTGAGATCAAGGATACAGAATGCAGGTGAGAGCATGGCATGGGGACAGTTTTTTGTTCTATTACAAAGGAAAGTCGAAGGCACACGAATAGATTTCTGATGCCACATTTGTACAGAATATCTACCCCAAAACTCTGACACAAGACCATTCTGGAATTTGCTGTTGTGCTTTAAATGGAGCAATAGCTTTTAGTCCCTGTTATCTTTGTTCTGCAGTGCTAGCTGGCCTCTTAGGCTATGTCTCCACAGCATTTTGGATTTGACAGTGGGGCTCCCAGCCTGGGTTGACAGAATTGGATTAGTGGGGCTTGCACTAGCAGTCTAAAAGTAACTTTTTAGACTGCGCTTTGACTGTGCAACCTCGGGCTCTGAAGTCTAGGGAATGGGGCTGGACTTCAGAGCCCAAGCTGCACCTTCATAAGAACATAAGAATGGCCATACTGGGTGAGACCAAAGGTCCATCCAGCCCAGGCAAGGCGGATTAGTTTATCTTTTTGTTTTATGTGAATTTTTCCTGTGTTAAGAGGGAGGTTTATTCCTGTTTTCTGTAACTTTAAGGTTTTGCCCAGAGGGGGATCCTCTGTGTTTTGAATCTGAATACCCTGTAAAGTGTCACTTAGTTTTGTGAGATCTATTTGAAGTCCTTCACAGTCTGCTTTGGTCTTAACTATCTTGAGCAGGTTAGTATCATCTGCAGACTTTGCCACCTCACTGTTTACCCCTTTCTCCAGATAAGTTGAATAGGATTGGTCCTAGGAGTGACCCTTGGGGAACCCCACTAGTTACCCCTCTCCAGTCTGAAAATTTACCATTTATTCCTACCCTTTGTTCCCTGTCTTTCAACCAGTTCTCAATCTATGGAAAGGATCTTCCCTCTTATCCCATGACAACTTAATTTACGTAAGAGCCTTTGGTGAGGGACCTTGTCAAAGGCTTTCTGGAAATCTAAGTACACTATGTCCACTGGATCCCCCTTGTCCACATGTTTGTAGACCCCTTCAAAGAACTCTAATAGATTAGTAAGACATGATTTGCCTTTACTGCTAACTCACCGTTGAAGGCTGTGTAGACATGCCCTTACTGGTGCTCTTTATTGCTGCTATGCTTAGCTGCTTTTGTGTAGCAAAATTAGCACATATTCGAAGCATGCATGCATTCTCCTCAGTTAACTTGTACTGGTTTTTGTGGAGGAATTAGCTGTGGTACAGGAAGCTGTGGTCGTAATAGGATGTGCCACAGACTGTAATACTTCAAATGACTAGAACAATAGAATAAGTGGTGTTGTGAATTCCCTGGAGACTGGATGTACTTCTGGGGCCTTGTGAAAACAAGTGATAGCAGCCAGTTTGAATCGCCAAGCCTATTAAGAAAGTGAGGACTAACCTCTCTGAACTTTTCCAAGAAAAAGCCCTTGCATAAGATCCGTAAAACAGAGCCAAACTATCCTGATTTTAGATTTATGCGTTCTGTCCTGCTCTCCAGAAGAACCCAGGAGCTGCAGCACAAACATGAGGAAGAAAAAAGGAAACTGCAGGCCAGGCTTGAAAAGACCATTCAGCACTACAAAGGGGAGATCCAGAATCTGAAAGCCCACCATGTGTTGCCTGGGATGGGCGCTGTGTCAGATGCATCAGGCGGATCGAACCCCCATGTCAGTAGGAGCAGCTCTAAGGAATCCCTGTCCTCTGACTCGCTGCCAGGAACAGACCCTTTGTCCCCTGTGCTGGATGGAAAACAAGATTTCACTGACGATACATCCAGGAAGTCAGTCTCCAGTCAACGGAGAGAACTTGTGCCCTTGGTAAGTAGTAATATAGGAGCTGTTGGTCACTGTTCAGAGAGAAGGGATATAGTCAGGATTCTCTATTCTCTTATATGACAGATATAAGCAGGTTTCAGAGACCACCTTTTAAACACCACTATACTGTGTGTGCACGTAGAGGTACATTGTAACCCAAAGCCAGGAAAACTAATAGTACAGGGATGATGAATACTCTAATAACTAGAATGACGGTTTGGAATAAGATTATTTCCCAGAACACTTTGGGGCAAGACTTTCTGCTGAAATACGAATTCTAAACTCCGAGTTGGTTCAGCCTGTAGTGAACTTCTCCCTTGATACTGGAGTTGTGTACCAACTGACGGAAGCAACCTGCTTCAGTTATTAAATATTCTGTATCAGTATCTGTTTGGTGAAACTTGGCTCAGACATTTAATATTTTGTAGGAGAGGAAAAACTGCTATGCTGAAAATATAGGGGATGGGGGGGATGAAATCAAGTTTCTGAGGTAGGCAATTAGTTCACATATTTTTCCTAGTACTGATTGGAGGGCACATGGGGTTTTTTGGTTCTCTGCAACCCACACACTGTAATTTGTCACCATTTTATGGCTCTTAAAGGGCTGCCCCTGGTAGATCACTCCCCTACAGCATTAGTAGAGAAAGGGAGGTTGCCAGCAGGCAGCATTTGTCACCAAAAAAAAAAAAAAAAAAAAACGGTGATTGGAGAAGTGGCAGTAAACTGGATGAGACTAGCCCCTGCATATCCGTGAAAGGCCAGGATTTTCTGTCTTGGTGATTTCCACATACAGAGAAAGCCTCTTGGATTTCACCCAGTTGTCTTCTCTTACCAAGAAATTGAAGGCAGGCTTTCCCTGATGGACAACAGCTCCTTCCTGATCTCATATTTTACCTCCCCTTCCCTTCCCCCAACATTCCCTTCTCTGAAAGTCTCCCCTCATTTTTAATGTAGTTTAAAACTTAGCTTCGAAATGTCCCCCTTTTAGGGGGTGAGCTGTCTGGGGGAGGCAAGTGAGTGGCAGAACCAGCTTCTCTTTTTATTTGAAAGAACACATGGCAATTTATCAACAAGGGCTGGCTGAATAGGAGTGTGATGGGAGCTCAGCACATTCCTCCCAGCTACATGGGAATTGTGCATCACAAACCCGTACTGCCTCCTTGAACATTACATAACAGAAAGCAGGGACTTCATAGTCTGCTCAGAAACTCATTCCCGCAGTAGCAAGAGACAGGCAGCGGCGGGTGGGTGAGTAATATGGACGGGAAAAGGTGGCTAAACTCACGTAATAAAACCATTGTAATGATTCAGACTTGCATTAGACAGTGGTTTTATATAACCTCTTTCATAGTCTTGAGTTACCCTAAAGCTGTGTAGAAAGTTCAGCACTGAGTATGAAATCCTTGCTCCATTGAAGTCAACAGGAATTTTACCACTGACTTCCCAGGGACCAGGATTCCCCCTAGAAGTGCAGTGGTCGGGTAGGTAACTGTGGAAGTCATTTTCCATGCAATAGTAGCTCCCACCCAGCCCTGGATATGCGAATTCCTTGTTATGAAGAGCAGTTACATGCGCCAAGATAGTGTTATGGGATTTTTCACTGCTGTTGGAGCCTGGCTGAAGCTACCTGGAGAGTCAGTATCTCTCCCTGTGTGCCCCACAACTAGCAAAATAGGACTGTATTGTTGTATCAGTGACTTGTCTAAGCATGAGACCCCAGTGCCTGACTTGGCCCAGCTCATGTAGTGCTGTACCTTTTGAAAGTATGGCTGGAATCCTGTTTTTGCTGACCTTCAGGCTGGCACTCTTTTACCGTGACAGACAGGCTGGAAGCACACCCAATCTCTGCATTATTGATTTCCTATTACTTCTGGCTTTTTGCGGCGTCCTGAGGGCCTTGTCCCTTTCTGATTCAGAATCTAACCCCTTGCTGTGTGGCAAGGGACTTAAGAGCAGACATCCCAGCTATAGGTCTTCCAATGGGGCTTCTGCTTCTAAGTCATTTGTTAACTTAGCCGCCCGGGGCCTTACTTTTAGAACGTCGCTGTTTCCAGCTGACCTTTTAAGATTCTTAATCTGCTACCTCAATAAAGGTCAATAATGACATAACTTAGATTCTAGGTTCCCTCAACATGTAGAAACTGCTTGTGGTTCAGTACAGTTTCACTTGAATTAAATGCACTGTTTTTCCCCTCACAGTCAAATGCCAGAATATTGCATGTGTTGAAGCCTCCGGCTGCAGTTTATTCCTGTGCCCATGAGCCCTGTTAACATCTCTGTTTTCCTTTAGTGCCCCCTGCCTACAGCTCCGATTGGCTCAATAGCAGCAAGGTTTTTGGAGGAGGAAGAAGTGAGATCTCAGCGCATCCTGGAACGCTTAGATGCTCACATTGAGGAACTGAAAAGGGAGAGCGAAAGGACAGTGAAACAGTTCACACACCAGAAGTAACAGTTCTTCAAGGTCTGTGGATTTGAAGACTGGTTTAATTAAACCACATCAAACTGGGGGGGAGGTACCCATGAACCTAATATAACTCAGAGCTTGCAGGAAAGAAGTCTCCTCATTCCCCAAGCTGAATTAGCAGTGTGGAAACCAAGGAAATTGTGCTCGTCTCTGGAGCAAAACACTTTGCCTGGCGGGAGTGATTGTGCTGGTGAAAGTACATCTCCATCTGAAACACTGGCTCAGGAGGCTAGAGGTCTCTGTTCCAGGAGAGACTGTGTGTGTGTTCACTGTCATGGAGATTGTGATGTCTTCCCGGAGCAAATTCCGGTGTAAACTATTTATTTAAAACTATTTTTATATCTGTAAAAAAGATAAATAAAAGCAAAACAGGAAAAATCCCTTTTCCCATTCTCATTCCCCCCCCTCCCAAAAAAAAAAAAAGGCACAAAGTAAATCTTTCAGCCAGTGAGTTTTCATTTGTATACCATCTCCAGGGAATTAATCTGACCATCTGCTTCCAAGAGGTTGTTATGCTCTTTTCAAAAAACAAGGTACACAGCAGGCCTAAGTGGGGGAGAAAACACTTTCCAAATGAGGCTCTCGTCTCCTAGTGTACTGTTGGTAAATATTTCCTGGAGCTTCATGCAACTCCTACACCTGGCTGCTTGCGTGCTGTGCTGTTCATTTCCATACGATTCCATCTTGCTCTTATATTGCTTCCACAGATACTGAAGCAGCAAAATACACAAGCAGAAAACAAAGAAAGGAAAGGTGGCAGAATTCTCACTATGGTGATGGATATAAAAAAGGAGCAGTGGGAACAGAAGGTGAAGTAGAGTGTAAGGGATAAACACACATGAATGAGAGCCACTATATTTGTACAACAGCTGTTTTACAGAGCACTGAGCAGCTGGTGGGAATTGTAAGAGTGGTTTTAGGAGTCAGGTCAGTGTGCCAGATAGCTTCTCAGAAGTCGTTTCATTCTGACAGGAGGAGTACATTTTAAGGCACTTGTCCTTGACTGTTTTCAGTGTGTGTTCTGTCACATCTAAGGGAACAGATTGGAGACCAAGCTTGATGCTTTTGTTGTTGATAAAGAATGAATTCCTAATCTATCCTCACCAGCTCCTTTGTTTTATGTACTAGCCTCATTTATAAAGTGGACCGGATTGGCTAACCCAGTCACGTGACAAGGTGGTGAGCTAATGCTGCCACATGGCTCCAGTAAGAGTCCTCACAATGAATAGGCCACTGAGTCAAAGTTATTGTAATAAATTGTCAGCTGACCAATCAGAAAGAATTTTATGCCCCTGTTATATATTAGGTGAGAGATTCAAAGATCCCTAGGGGAGTTAGGTTCCCAGTTGCCATTGAAAGTCAATGTGAGTTGCACACCTAACTCCCTAGATCCTGGCCATTGTCTTTCCTCCTGCTCCTTTTTTGTGCTTCCTTTTCCTGCTGCTCAGACTCCATCCCCCTCATGTTCATCCTCTCCCTCCTTGGCAAGGCTGTGGGTTCCCTGAGCATGGTCCAGGTGGGCATTGATTCACACTACTCCGCACCCTGCTGCATAGCTTGACTGATAAATGCAGTCTGATTTAAAATGTACACTATGCTGTATTAGCATCTCCATCCCCACATTTGCCACTCCCTGTTTCTCTCTGTCCTTATTAGTTTTTCACAACTGTTCATCAGTTTTACACACTGACAAGACCTGAAATCACAGACCCCATGAAGACTTGCCGTAAGTGATAATCAGCTCCATTGATCCAGACCATCCAGTGAAGGTGGTAAGTAATGCCTGTCGAAACAAAGGCGATTATATTCTGTTGTTGGAAGCTTTTGCCTCACCCACTCTCCTCCCCTCCCGTCAACTATAAGTCAGTGCATCTTTGAGAGCTCTCCTCATGTGCCTGGGGAATTTCAAAATGTGGAGGATTTGTGGGTCCCACCAGCTGTCCTTGATAAATGTGAATGATGGTTCTAGAGCCATTCCAGAGTCTGTTCTGTCACACAATGGGACCTAGTGCCCTTTTTTTCAATGTGATATTTATTATGGACACTCCCTTTCCCATATAACATATCGGGCCTGAAGTCACACTGTGGTGGCAGGATTTTCCAGCATGCATAGTGATGGTCTGACTCTCCTCTGGTTCTGACTTCAATTGGAGCAGAGGTAGGTCAATGAAAACAATTCAACAAGGCCCTATATATCAGCTAACCACTCAGGCCAAAGGGGCAACAATAGCAAAGGATCTCAAGGCTTCCATGAGTTGGAGTATATAAACATTAGGGTGATGGAATCCTGGCCATTATCTAGTCAGTGGCAAAACTCCCATTGACTCCAATACGTGCCAGGAGTTTGCCCTATGATTAGCAAAACTTGGTAAATCCTGAAGTAGATGATGGTTGCAGATGAGCAACACTAAACATGCCCAATTATGGAGGCTGTGGGTGGTAACTAGAGAGGAAAGAAACTTAACAGACAGACTGCCATGAAAGGAGCAATCACCCCAGTTGCATCAGGTCAGGTTATACAGCCACATTCTGAGATATGAAGCCAATATACTGCTCAAAACAAAGCAAGATGACAGCTATCCCTACTCATTTGGGGATATCAAAGGCAATATGCCATTTGCTTGCACTGTAATAAAAGGCATGAAAATACTATTCCATCAACATCCCATGCACCTAAATACAAGCTGGATAAAAATCAATGATTTTTTTAAAATAAAATCTGATTTTTTTTTAATTTAAATCAGATTTTTTTGATAATTTTTTCCTCAAAAAGCAATCTAAAGATAGTTTTAATTAAGATACATTATAGCTCAAAGATATCTCACCATGGAATAGGGATTATAAATTCTAATTCTTCTTATATATATTATATGTATATAAAATATGTTTGCTGTTGAAGAAAAAAATCCAGAATACTTAACCTTGTTGTTTTAGTTAAATAAAGCCATTTACATGTCTGTCTGGTGGTGATCTCCTCCTAATACAGCATGGCAAGAAAATCCTCCGAATATTAATGATAGTTCACCTCCCAATGACTTCATAAATATCTGCTTCAATTACCATTGGTAAATGAATAACCAAGCAATCATTCATTTTCTGATACAGCTGTAAAACTAATCTGAAAAGTTTTCAAAATAAATCGCTGTTTAAAAATGTATATTGTGTACCTTCTAAAAATGAAACCTACATCAATCTCTGAGTTGTGAAGAGTATATATTAAGGTTATAACAACCAACAACAATGCACTTTTATGTAGAAATCCATGATTAAATAGAGTCTTCCTGACTAGTGATTTAAATCAAATTGATTTAAATCATGATTTGGTGATTTAAATCAATTTGATTTAAATCAAATCCACTCTGCCTAAATACGCTATTACATTTGGGCCATTATTGAAGCAATTAGCTATAATAATTGATAAATGGAGGAGCTGAGAGGCAGTTATCAAAGTTCTTCACTTGTATGTGTGTAGAATAATTTACCAATATCAAAAAGGATGAGACCTCTGACATTAGCAAATAACAGCTGGCAATGTGAATTCTTAGCTCAGAGTAATTACTCCTCTGCATGGCACAGGGTTACAGAAACTCTCCCAGTCCCCTTTCAGACTGAAGGATAATAGTCCATTTGAATTGGTGGGAAGAGTTGACGTATCAATAATGTGCGCTATAAAACTGTAAAGTGTACCTGTCGTTTTGTGAGGAGGAGGAATAGGGTTGTTTTTCCTGGAGGGAGATGGCACAGCGAGTCCAGGCTTTATGGCACTTTTATCTGGGGCTGCAGGGTTTCCGTGCATTCATTTATGCCTTCTGAATGTTGAACATCCCCTCGGAATAATTACTTGGTCTTAGCAGTTTTATAATTAATGAAGCTGGAGGGGTTTTTTTGTCTTTGAACTCATCCTTTTTAATAACACCAAAGAATTTCTTACACAGTTGCAAGGCTGAGCCAGATGTTTGCCTTCTGTTTAATTAAAAACAATACTGTATGTGGAACCCAATTTGTAGTGAGTCGTGCCTTGATTTCTAGTCTGCACCACGTGAAAGGGAAAGGTTGCCATCTTGGCAAGACTTTTAATGGTGGTCTTACCAGATATGTGAGAGGGCATCAGATGTACAGTAGATTGTTCGTTATCCATGTGTGATATTGCATCTAGGTCATGTGTCTACTTAATCCAAGGAGTGGGGGTGTACACAGAGAGAGAGAGACTAAAACAAATTGACTGGTTGTATTGAGGGTAATAACAGTATCCTGTAGCCTAGGGGACAAAATGAGTCCTGGAGACTGTTATCGTGATAGGTGATGGGGAATGTGTACAAAGAAACTACTTTTACTTTAGGGCAATTTCTTCTTACTGCTATTGCTCTCTGAGCATCTGTTATATGAATAATTCGGGCTTCTCCTGCCCCAGTTCCAACTCTCTTCCCCCTGCCACCTTATCTGTTGGGTGAAGGTCTAGGGACTTTCTTGTGACAAGCAGATTTTAGGGAAGAGGAGCCAGAGCCTTGTCTCCCTCTAGGCATTTGCAGGGGCTTTTCTAAGGTCAGACCTTGGGGGCAAGCATAGGCTTCTGGGAGCAGTCTGTAGCTATGTGTTGGCCTGGTCTGTAGAGGCATGGGGCTGGCTGCTGGACCCTGAGCAGGAGTACTTGCTGGGAATGACAGCAGGCTGTAGGACTGACCCTTGGAATTACACTCGAGAGGCTACTGTGCTCCTATCTCCCACTGGCAGTCCCAACTCTGGCCATATTGGATTCTGATGCCACTGTTATTGGATGGAACATGTGTAAGGGAACATGCCAAACTAGTCATTTCAGATGTTGAAATTCCCCACGGCTGAAGGCCAGCTGGAGAGGTAACAGTTCACCCAATGGGGTGAAGCTGAAACACTGCAAGGATCCACTTCTATGAAATCAAGAGGGCTCTGTCAAACCTTGTGACCTTCTCCAGCTGAAAGCTGTGGTCCAAGGGAAAAGGCATTCCTCGGCCCACACTGATGGTGTCATAGGAGTCTTGGCTCAGCCTTCACAGAGCTCGTCAGAGCAAACAGAATACCCCTGGGTTTCCCTTTCTTCTGTCTGCATCCCTGCTGTGTTATGTACTCTGCGCTCCAAGGAATCTGCTCCCTGCTGGCTAGGATTAGCACCAGTAGCATTTCTATGGGGAGCAGCTGGCAGTCCACCCAGACCTGCCATAGGCCAGGGACAGTAGACTGAGGGCAGCTTTACTTTGCTCCTGGATGCTGCATGGAGTCCCTTCACCATAGCACAGTGCATGCAGTCCCCCCAAGCACTGCTTTCACTGGCATTCTGGAAAAGGAATTGCCCAACAATATTTTTGCCAACAGAAGGAGCTCAGATTGTTCCATGAGTGCAAGAAATAGAATAAGAAATTATAACTTTGTTGTTTTGGGGGAAAAAAAATCAAGTTAAAACAAAATGCTACCCCTTGGAATATACTGAAGTATATGCACACTGACATTTTCATGAAAGTGAAGTGTATTTTGTGGGGTGCTTTTTAAAAATTTTTTTTCATCAGCTATTAAAAGTGAGACCAACCAGACTATTCCTCTTGCCTTCTGCATGGAAGTTTCTCTATGAATAGGACATCTATCAAAATTATGGTTCCTATAGGATATTAGCAATAATGTGTGTTTCTATAGAGCCAAAGTTCCACAGATTACTCTTGTTATGGCAATACTCCAGCTTTCCCATCATATTCAGCAAGTCTATCTTGGACAGACAGGTTGGGTTATTTTTAAATGTTGGCTTTGAGAACTAACATTCCCAGTTTAACTGTAACCTCCCGTATGGCAGAAAGCTCCTTTTGTGGTTGAAATAAAAGAATTGTAGTGTGCTAGATAGAGCCGAGTTACCACTCTATAGCAAAAGTGTTTACAGCTCAAACATCCAAGTAATAAGGTAAAAATTAATGTATTTATTGAATTGAAGATCTAGTGTAAAAACAGTCATTTCGCAGTATCATGTAAATTTGTAAGACAATGAAATGCACAAGAAAGCCTTCACTTAGTGTATCTTCTTTCAGTAGCACATCTCTTCCCGATAAGAATTTTGCTACTATGCTAGAGATACACAGGAACCCTGGTTTAAAGAGTCTTAAACTACTGCAGAGTCCTATTGTGAAAGCATAAGGTGCTTCCTTTCTCTATCCCATGACTATTCAGATTCTTCTCGGAGTAACCCTGATAAATGTTTTTGGTGAAAAACAATAATTCAGAAACCAACAGTTACTGCTGATATGTTAATGAACTGTGGACATAAAAAGTCAATCGCTTCCCTCAACCCATTTCTCTGGAAGGTATCACCTAACAGTGTCTGTAATAAATTTGAATTCCGTACAGCAGTTGCTCCCTTTGTAACCATTACAGATTTTTGCTAGTTTTGATCTTGTAGTATTGCATTAGCTCTTCCAAAGATACCTGAATGTTGCTCCATATTTGTTGGATTAATAGATTTGGTGGAGGGAGCTAATGGGCACACAAAATGATGTGGGTTTTGGACATGTTGAAATTTTGTTGTTTTGTGCATGATGATGAAAAGAATGGGAGAATGGTTTACTGGGTATCTACTTTGTATTTCAGGATGTTTGAGTAGAAATTGTGATTGGCATTCTCTTGCACCATGACACGCACCTCTGTGCAGCCGGAAGTATTACAGGTTCCCTCCCAGTAACCATCTTTACTCAAGGTCAGAGGAGAAGTGTTTTCAGCCTCAACAAAGGCCTTTGCTATACTATGCATCTTGAGCTTAAACTGAACATTGCGATTGGCTGGCAGTAGCCCAGCAAGTGGCTCCAGTATTTCATAGCCTTCTGCCCAGTTGCTATAATTCTGCGGAAAAACTGGCCACTTCACTTCGGTGTTTGGGCAAGAGATGAGGTAGTTGAAGATGTAATTGTAGTTGCCTGGATCTGACTTCTTCTTGGTATAGATTTGAAGAACAAACTTTCCTGCGTGGGGGAGATGGATCTTAAACTCAATTTGGTTTCCTCGATGGATTTGCATGATGTGCCGCCTGCTCATATCCTCGGTCAAGCTAGTGTTATCCCACTGCAGTGAGGGTAGGACACTTATATCTTTACCCAGCGTGAAAGTGATGGAACACCGCCCATCATTGGTGTGAATTATGGGGTCAGGGTGTGATGGCCTCAGGAATCCTTTCCGCTCTGTGAACCAACTAGGTCCAACAGGTTGATATAGGTCCTTTGGAAAACGCATGCTCTTGTCCACAGAGTTGCACTCTATGATGCATTCTAACACACAGTTGTAGAGATCCTCTGAGCCTTTGCAGGGCTTGGCAAAGACCTGTAGTTTGTGATTCCCAGTCTTCTGGGGATAAATCTCCAGCCTCATCCCATTCTTTTTTAATGTCATTAAACCATGTTCCTTAGTTCCCTGCAGGCTAAATGTAAATAATAGTGGAGTACGACTCTCAATAGAAATAGTTGCTTTTCCGTTTACTGTGAAATACAAAGAAAAGAAACTGTTCAGGAGTTTCCTCCAGTCTGTTTATATAAAACCCCTGCACAGTATAACCTGAAGGACTGAGTCAGTGAAATGAAAGGGCTGCAGTTGGCTGGATCTAACTTGTCAACCACTAGCCAAATCAGTGTGTCCCCCTTCCCTCCCCCCCCCCAAGGAACAAGATGGGGTTGTTGTTTTGGGACACTTGTTTATCCGATTTTATATTAAGTGAGATGAAGCTGGTCAGTGCTCATGGATCCTTTGGAAGATGGAAGCCTGTGTGAACTCTGGTATTACAACTCAAGCTGCCCACCCTTTTAGGGACACCGGAACTGCCAGGCTGGATCAGACCCAAAATCTAGTCCAGTATACAACAGTGGCCAGCACCAGCTGCTCTAGAGGAAGGTGTGAGAGCCCCGCCATAGGAAGAGATGGGAAAATCTGCTCTCTGTGTTATCCTCATCCGGATCTGTAGTACCTCAAGATTGATTTAAGGCCTGAAGCATGAGGGTTAGTATTCATTATGACAACTCTGGATATTTTTATCTTTCATATAACTATCCACTCCCCTTTTTAATCTTGCTAAGTGCTTGGCCTCTTGGTTGAAGCCCCTGAACAGCTTGAGACAGTTCTACTTTTGCAACCCTACAATAAGGCCAAGATTAAAAAAAAGGGGGGGTACCCTAAAATTCAACTCCTAAATTAACAGCTA